ATTTTCCACACCCGTGGAAAGAAGAGCATTTCTCCCCACCCCTACTTGCTGAACACCTCACGCTTGCCCTAATAAAGAGACAATTGCTATCTCCCCAAACCAGGAAATAGAACTGCATAACCCCCAGCCGCACCCCCCACTGTGTTTGGGGCTCAGCCTTTGTGACAGGCGTCAGCTGAGCCACTTCCAGCATCAATAACCTTTGCTTCCTGTCTCAAGCCTTGGTGTTTCTTGCCTCTCCTTGCGAGTTCGCTGTAACACACTGCAACAATATGACACACTTTCTACTGACCCTGGCTCTTCGGGTGATATTGAGAGTCAGGTTTTATATGAACATGACTAATGGGATCAGAGGGGTCAATATTAACCTCTGAATCAGAAACTTTGCGGTGGCAGTAATGTGTGTTTTAACAAGCTTTCCAGGTAATTACGATGCATGCTAATGTTTGAGAAAACCTGGCTTATACCGTAACTAATTCCACAAAGAGCACAAATTCAAATATCTAAAAGGTAGATGATATGTGTATTAAAGCTCTCATTTTTTGCTTCTGGATATTACCTTCTTAGGATACTAGCAAGTATGACCATTGTTGAACAGATATGCTTTATGTCCTGATCCTCAAGTAGAATATTGGCTTAAAAAATAAAGCCTGAGTATTGGATACCACACCTTAATGCTCAACAAAATTATTAAAATGATATCACTTGTATGTATCCTGAAATATCTGCACAATAATTATATTTGAAAAATAGAAAGACTTTCTGTACAAACTTAATTGGCAGTTTTAATTGTGGTCTCTGAGATTCTCATAAATTTTTAAGGAGTCTAAAAGACTGCTCTTCCAAAGTAAATAAGAAGCAAAGGCAGATTTTAAAAGCTCCACAGCTACTGGTATAAATCAATCCCCACCTTACTTAACCGAAAGATGAACAGCAAGTTGTGTTACACAAATTATTGTGATACTTCCCAATAAATTTGCCTGTAAATAAAGCCTATAAATTGTAAAGGAAAAGACTGTCCTAGAGTTAGATGGGACGTTCAATAAATGAAAGAGATATAATTGGGAACGAATTAAGTACTGCTATTTTTTAAATTGAGGTATATCATTTCTTTTTCCCCTTGGATATAGAAGCTGGAACTGTGTTATTTCTACCCTCACAAGAAAAATCCATGTGGACTAAAAAAATCACAGTGTTGCCTGAACACATCAAAGAGCTGAAGTTATAAACCAACCAAGTAGTCTGAAACCCACTGAATGTCAGGCCCCTCCAAGGAGAGATGAGACAAGAGTTGGCTCACCAGTGGCAGACCACAGAAGGAAGAGAGGTGGGTTTCATACAGCCAGTTCAGAACTCAGCTAAGATTTTTAATGAATTAGTAAAGGTCAGCTGTGGATGAGTGTAAAAGTATAGAACTCCTGGGAGCTGCAGACACAGGGGGAGTTTGCACCCACTCACAAGCTCTTCTCCATGGGCTTCCACCTCCTGCTCATGAGAAAAATTATAGACAGAGCAGGAGATGCATGAATGCCTTTTCTTGGTGTTGTAGGTTTGAGGGAGGAAGTGGTCACTGCTTTGAGAAAAGCTCGAAGCCCTGCCTCAATTCTTCTCTGGAAAACAAAGCCCTAAGTTTTTCAGAAAGGAGCAGAAAACCTTGTCACCCCTAGGGCAAAGGTACAGACCCACTGTAGGCAGGGGAAGGGTTAAAAAAAAAAAAGACAAAACAAATCGAAAACAAAAGCAAAAGCTTTTACTCCTGGGGGAAGTCCTAGATTCTGTACCAGTAACATCAGGCATCTTCTACCACTGGGAGAAGAAAAAATTCTCTCCCACAGAAGACCCATAAGGAACACAGACAGTTTGGCTACCATGAAGGGAAGAGGTAGGACCAATAAGAAAGTTTAACCCCAAGACTTAAACATGCAGGACCCGTCTAAGGTGTAGGCTATACTGAAACAATAGAAAACCTCTTTTCTTCACCATCAGACTAGCAAGTAACGAGCAACTTCCATCCACCTCTGGCAAAGAGAAAAAAGTGTGGAGAGCTACAGTTTTTGTTGTGGGCATGAACAGAGAAGCTAATGGGTGATGAAAAACATGGAGAAAATACCTTTGAATTACCTCTGAAAATAGCTTGACCCTACAGAAAAGGAATTTGAGGCCAGTAGTGCACTGAAAGTAAACATAGGAATAATAAAATCCAAACTCAGCTTAATTCCTGACTAGATCTACTTAACACCCTCTCCCACACACACACATACACACTGATAGCCTGAGAAGAGACGTGTTCACTTCTAGACATAAAATGTTGTACACATAGTGTCTGCTGTCTTATCAAAAATTACATGACACATTAAAAAGCAAGAAAAAAAACAATACACTACTGCTGTGGATTGACTGAATTTTGCCCCCCAAAATTCATATATTAGAAGCTTAATTCCCACTGTACCTGTTGAGGGTAAGAAATCCTTTTCTGGTAATTGAAAGGTGGGGCCCTGAAGAGGTGATTAAGTTCATGGTTTACTGGTGGTCATGGGTGAGGTTGAGGGCTTTAATAAGACAGCACATGAGGACCTCTCTCTCTCTCTAGTAAAATATGTACAAACCATGCAAGAGCAGACAGAATTTTGGCAGAGAGATGGTGTTATGAATTGAATTGTGTCCCCCCTCCAAATTCATGTTGAATCCCTAACTCCCAATGTGGTTAAATTTGGAGATAAAAGCTTTAAGGAGGTAATTAAGGGTAAATGAAATTATCGGGGTGGGGCCCTAATCCCATGGGCTGGTGTCCTTCTAAGAACAGTCAGAGACACTGGAGCTTGTTCTGTCTACATGCACACAGAAGAAGGCCATGTGAGGACATAATGGGAACTGCTGTCTACAAGCCAGGCAGAGAGGCCTCACCAGACACCAGCCCTGAATGTACCTTGATCTTGGACTTCTAGCCTTCAGAACTAGGAGGAAACAGACAAATGTTGTTTAAGCCTCGAGTCTGTGGTATTTGGTTATGGCAGGCTGAACAAACTAACACAGAAACTACAATCATGAGTCAAATATAAATGCTAGAAGTAGAAAAACATGGTAAGAGAGATAAAGGATGCTTTTGACAAGTTCAAGACAGCTAAATAGTCAATGAACTTGAAGATAGGTCAGTAGAAATTAGTCAAACCTAAACTCAAAAAGAGTGACAAAGAAATAAACAGAACATCCAGGAGTTGTGGGATATTACCAGGCAATCTAGTATATACGTAATTTGAATCCCAGAAAAAGAGACACAATGGTACAGAAGAATTATGTGAAAAACTAATGGTTGAGAATTTTCCAGAATTAATGACAGACATGACAATACAGATGCACAAAATTCAATGAATTCTGAGAAGGATAAATACCACAAAATTACTAAACAGACATACACAACACACACACACACACACACACACATAAACACAGCTATATACATTATATTCAAACTTCTGATGAAAATTTTGAAGGTGGCCATAGAAAAAAGTGTCATTACTTACACAAGAATAAAGATAAAATTTACAACAGAATTATAAGAAACTATGAAAGCCATAAAATAATGTAAGGTGTTAAAGTGCAGAAAGAAAAATAGAATTGTCATCCTAGAATTCTATATGCAATGAAAATATCTTTCAAAAGTGATACTGTGCATACTCTACACAAAAATATAAAAGGAAGTTCTTCAGAGAGAAGGAATATGATACCAGAAAAAATTTGGGTCACATAAAGTAATGTCACCAGGAAAATCTATTTTCCCAAGTTCCTTAGCTAACTTTAAGGCTGAAAAGCATGCAGCCTCTCTATTTCAGTCCATAAGGTTCAGGAAATTATCCTCTCAGTCAGAACCTTGGACAGGACTTGAAAGCAATGGAGTTCCACAATGCTGTCACCTCAACATCTAACATCCTTCAGCAGAGTGACTGAAATGAACTGATGCCTCTGTCTGGAAAGTCACTTACAAATGTGGCGATTGGAAGGAATTCCATACTAGGTATACAAATGCCTTGGTGTCTGTCTCTGATTTTATTACAATGTTGTATATAAATAAGTCCTCTTTATTGGCAAATAAAAAAAAATTCACTAAAGGGAAGGTTCCAAACAGGGCATTTTAAAATTAACCTTATGGCTGGACTAGTCCAGTGAGCTATGCTGGACTGACAGCCTCATTCCTAAGACAATTTCTGTTGTTTGTTACAGTGTCTGTTACACTTTGTGCTGAGCCTTGCCAGCTGGCATTCCCTCATGTTTCAAAAAACAGCATATTGCACGAAATTGTTAAAAATCTCTATATTCCTGTGATTTTATTTCTTTAAATTCTACTTTTCAAGTACTCTATAGCCTATAATGAAATTATCATTTACTGTCAGATGACTAGGCCAGAATGAAAGACTCGAGGGATTCAGGAGGGATGACAAACATTATATTCATACTTGAATTACTCATGCAGAGAAATATGTGAGAGAAATGTTAGGATATCCATATCCCTCTACAGAGAGGAATATATTATGCCAAAATAGTATTCTACAAACCACAAGACAAACTTGATATTATTATAAAAAACAGTATGCTTTGTATATGAGGCATTGACACAACCAGTTTAATATACTATGTTGTGTTTAAGTGAATAATTATTCCACTGTTTTCTTGCTGAATTTTTAATTTATTTTTTTATTTCCTTGTTTATTTTTCCCAGTTGGATACTTCACCACCAGTAACATATTAAGAGGTAGAGCCTCCTGTTTTGCTGCAATTTGGGTAATACCTTTAAAGCGTCCACAATAAGAACCCTAGAAGAGAATACCTTGACCTGAGAAATCAAGGATTTCTTTAGTGTGAGTAGCAAAGCATAAGTAAAAACAATATTTTCCAGCTGCCTACTGATTCAATTTAATTACATAAGCGTTCATTTATTCTCACTTGCTAGCATGAAAGACATGGGCGGTGAACTTAATAGAGAAAAGAAGGACGTGCTCACTTACTAATTTGATTCGGTGGCCGGGGGTGGCACTGATTTCCCATGTGCATTCCTTCCTGCTTGGGTACTTGTCTGGCCAGTTGGGACTGGTGATGAGGCCACCTGGACTGTGGATCTTCTGTTCACACTCAGCTGTGCCAATAATGATAATATTGGTCAGTGTGGAAATTCAGCCCAGGATTGGGCCAGAAAGAAAGCAGCCTATTTGCCCACTGCACTGTTGAACAACTTTCCTGATCACTAGCCAACCATCGCTCCAGTCTCTGTTACCATATTCACCTGCTTTGGCAAGTGTATTACTGAGCATAATCAGGCAATGTTCGTTGTCTGACTCACATAAAATTAAGTGTTTACTATGAATCAGATAAACGCCTAAAATGAACTGCTATTTTACACAGCCAGGGTCCATAAGCTCAGACTTTAGGAGATCAACATACAGTGACAATCAAAAATATCAATGCCACAAACAAAAATCAATGGACTATGCCTTTTTCAATTCTTTTTTTTTCCTATTAATAGAAACATCATTTATAGCTAATTAATATCATTAAAGCAACTTGTGAATCATGTATTTACAGTTTTTCTCTCCCTTAGTTAAGCATCCACTTAAATATCTAAACCATAATTATAGCTGGTGAAATAAATTAACTCTTATTTCATCAAAGCCAATGAAGTACTATGTGGAAAAATAAGTGAACAGCTACTATCCCTGTAGATAGCTTCTGAACTCATTTCAAAGAATACCTCATTCAGTTAGCATGAAATTTCTTTAAGGTTTTTAACAATTAAAATAATCTCACTTTACATGAGACCATTCCACATTGTTAATATCAAATTTCAAAAATATTTAATATGCTCAGGCTGTATTCGTTCTATATAATTTATGAAGCTATACCCTATGCATCTTGGTTTAGACTGGGATTTTCAACAGAGGAATTAAAAAACAAAACAAACAAACAAACAAACAAAAAATGGAAAGGTGAGATGCAGCTCTTGTCAAATAATCCAAGACTCTGTAGCCAGACAATAGCCTTAAAAGTCTGGATCCAGTCATAACAAGGGTTTCCTAAAAATCCGTTATTCCTGTCCTTGCCTTGCCACATGAAATGTAGAGTCTGCAAAATTTGTCAAATAGCCTGAGACAAAGCTAAGAGGCTCGTGGCTGAAATGTACAAAGTGCAAAAACCATAGTGGAGATGAAAGAAAATCCAACCCCTTTCCTAGCAACAAAACTAAACTTTATTAAGCGGTGCCTGAAAGTCATTCTATCTAAAAGGAAGTGACCATAAAAGAATTTCTTGAAAATGTTAGCTACTGTAATGAACAGAGACACATTTGCTACCTGTGAGCCACAAGCTACCTGTATAATGTGCAAAAGCTGTTTTGTTTTTTCTCTGAATTAATTTTCATGTCTGCAGAAAAATACTGGACCTATTTTTCAGCCTATTGATTTAATAATATATGTTACCAAGTTACAAATATCATGCTCATACATCAAAGTGGAGAGAGAAAAAAATTCCTGCTTGCATGTGATTCTGCAAAATGCTATTATCTCATTTAAAAAAAGAGAAAAAAAAACAACAAAAAAACAAACCCCTGACATATGACGATATTTGAATGGAACTGAACGGAACAAAGGTGAACACAGGATATCCTCTACTATCCTAATGTATATACAGCATGTTGCTATCTAGCTGCAGTTCTAGTTGGGTACCTATGCTGAAGAGTAAAGCTATAAAATCTGCTTTAGGAATTCCCTTCTCAAAACAGGCATAAATAAAATAAAAGTAGAAAATTTGGGAAAAGACCCTCAAAGGAAGAAACAAGAACAGAACAATTTTTTCTTGTTTCCTTCTAATTTATAGTGGCTGAGGGGATTAAGTAATTGCTTTAAAAAAAATTGAAATTTTGTAAGGCCTCAGGGATGAAATCTGGCAGGCTATTATTGTGCTCTTATGTTACCAGTGTACTCTTTTGGCCAAAGTCACGACTTACACTTTAAAGGACACAGTATCTATCATTTTCAAATGTCTGTCTTTGGTAGGCATTTGAGTCTGACACTCCTGGTATTTAAAGGGACATCACTCATGCAGCATGTATATGAGATATTTTTAAAGGGGATATTATACAAAATGCAAAACATTTAGCAAAAGTTAAGTTTAAATATGAATTATGCTATAAGGTCTGTCCTACAAAGACCTGGGGAGAATGTGGTACTTTTCTGGCTACCAGATGGCATTATAGCAGCTTCTATGTCTGTTATACAAAGTTGCTATAATGCCACCCATGTGTGAAGTGCAGATCAAATAGTATGCCTTAGATCTTTAAACATTAGGCAGAATTTTTTTTTTTTGACATTTGAATAGTCAACAATGATACCACTCATTGAAATAATGAACTCTCTTGGAAGCAGTCCTTTATCCAAACCACACGGAATTCTAGATGTCAGGAAAAGAGCGTTCCTTTCCATATACCTTCCTTGCAGTCATGTTTATTTTCATGCAGCACAAATCCATTACGGCACTGACACATGTAGCTTCCCATCGTGTTGACACATTCGTGCTGACACCCGCCATTGTCCTTGGAGCATTCATCTTTGTCTAGCAAAGAGATAAACCCCATAGTTTAGTAAGTACCTTTAAAAACAAAGGAAGTTAAAGGAGAGTTATTTAGTGTGGTTAACGACAGCAAAGGGTAAACTAAGTCACAGTTTTACCTGTTCCCACATAAAACAAACAAAAATTTATGGTGTCTTAATTTCACCCTTTTCTTGTTTAGCTTAGAGGCTTGTACCATGGATTGAGGGCTCAGAACCTTTTTGCTAGATTAACAACTTGTAATTCTATGCTGGAGTTGCAGTTTTGAGTCGGAGTAAGAGGAAATCAACAGATCTTTTTCCAATTAAACCTAAACATTTATTGCCAATTAAAAAAAACCTTAAAATTGTGAGTAGTTTGAATAAAGGCAAGAAGTGGCATTTAAGTAGAAGGAAATCCTCCACTATATGAACCATGGTATATAGACAGAGGCTAAACAAGCTCCCGAGATCTGTATACAACCACTTCAAAAAAACCACCCAGTATAACTACTGTAGTTGGTTTTTTTCTTCATTAACTTTGCAGTTGTTCTTAGTTTTAATGAATCTGGACATTTCATAACATTCCAACACAGAAAGAAAAAGCCATCATTAGGCTATCCTAAAGAAGAAACTTAATTTATATATTTTAGACAAATCTACCCTGGCAGACCAGTTTACTAATAAGTAATCCCCCAAAAGGGCTTTTAGCATGCTAGAAGGAAAGCACAGGTTAGGACAGGAGCTTTAAGAAATAGCCAAAAAATTCGCTACAGGGACAAAAGCCAAACTGGATTAACAGGTAGTCAATCTAGTGAGCGGCATCAGCCATCACACAATGTCACTCAGCTGTCATTCCATAGTGGGCTCGTCCACGACAGTCAAAACTGGCAGATGGCTCCTGACACACGTACGTGATGGCACATCACTCAGACTTTCATCATTCCCACACAAGGAACAAAAAGGACACATTACAGTCATATCGGAAGTTAGACCGGATTCAGATTTTACACTGTCAGCTGGTTTTTCTAGTGAGAACTAGTGAGTCATGGTGGCACACAAAATATGCTATTTTTGCTTTTTTATCAAATCAATAGTCACTCTGGAGGTAAGTTTAGAGAAGATATTTTTATCAGGGAACTGATATTTATTTTTAAAGATGCATCTATTTTTTTTACCTTTGGAGATGGATTACATGACATAGCACACACATGCTTACAGGGTATATTCATCCCTTGGCAATGTTAGAACATTTCAAATACAGAAAGGCCATCTCCCAGTTTTTAAAAGAATATATCAGATGCAGAATACTTGTGATTTATGTGTTCTCTACCTGTGCTTGACACTTCTATTACTCTGCTAATATTTACTGGGGACACTAAGCAAAAAACAAACAAAATAGCTTAGAAAAAATTAGCTCATGTTTGCAATTGACTGGTAAGCAGATAACTGCTCAGTGACCAACCCCCTGGAGGCAGAGGCTGCCTGAATTTTATCTCTACCTGTTTGGATTGCCATGCAAGAGATACAAAAATGTTAAAATACAAACACGAACACATGTATTATTCAATGACACACTTATTATTGCTGAGTTTAAATCCATAGTCATTTTATAATAAAATCAATTCCAATACACAAAGTATTTCTAACATCTAAACTTCATTCTAGTGGAAATATTGTCAGTAGCTTATATTTCTAAGCACATGGCTAGTTTCAAGATTTGATAGAATATAAGCTGACTCGTGGTAAAGATAAATAAAATTGAAAGTAAAATCAATCATATTTCAATTCAATAGTCTATTTGGTCAATTATTTATATTTCTGCTGTGCTAGAAAAATCATAATAATTTGAAAACAATTTTTGGAATAAGAAGGAGAAGAAAAACAAGAAATAGAAGAGGAAGAATTATTATTATTTATACGATCATTACAGTCTCTGTTATTTTTTACTTTACTTTCCAAGTTTATCAGTTTCCTGCCTTCATTTCCACATCTGATGTACAGTCACATGAAAATTAAGAGTTATTAATTACTAGAATATAGGTATAAGTTCATCTAAATTTTAGCAGAAATTCAAAACTGGACTAATGAAAATAGTAATTAAAAGCCACAGAGGAAAGTTACTATGTCCAGAAAAGTAGCATGTAAAACTGCCCCTCCATTTGTCCCGTAGTCATACGAAAAGAGAAAATTTCAAAAAGTCATCAGAATACTTAAAATTATTCAGATGCTTTAAATCATAAAGAACACAAAAATGGGGGTTTTTTTACTTAATATTTTAAGTTGTCTAGTTACTATTGAAAATTTACTAAAGCTACTTATTTGAATATGATTTAATAAACTATTCTCATTAAAATGAATGCAATTTTGGATTATCTATGTTGATGAAAAACAGGGACATCATAAAAGATGAATTCCACAAATATATTTTAGATTTCTTATTTATGAAAATTTATCAAACTAGGGGAAAAAAGCTATTAGCAAACATGATTGACTCATGTTTTCACTTCTTCTTTCTCTTAGTACACAAAGACCATGAACATTTCGAAGAACAAAAATCCAAAGAAGAAGAAAAGGGAAAAGGATGCAGAGTTTTAAACCTTTTTCATAATGTCTGCATGATAAATTTAGTAATTGAGAATTCTATTAATAATTCACTTGAAATTTTCTGGCATTTTCATACTATGGACACAAAATAAAGGACAGTGGTAGAAACAAATGTTTTATTGAGGAAAAATAAAAACATTTCCTTTCTTTCTTTTTTTTTGTCTTTTTTGTGACCGGTAAGGGGATTGCAACCCTTGGCTTGGTGTCACCCGCACGGCGCTCAGCCAGTGAGCGCACCGGTCATCCCTATATGGGATCCAAACCCGCGGCGGGAGCGCCACTGCGCTCCCAGCTTCCCGCGCCATGGGGCTGGCCCAAAACATTTATTTTCTATATATGGAAATTAGCCCCCCTTCTTTCGAATGGACATATCTGCTTTCCATTCCTTCATGTTAGATGAAGGAAAGGTCCATTATTAGGGGAAAGGGACGTGGTATTTTCCCATCAGATGCCTGCAGCATACCTCTGACACTATCAGAGGTCATCAGTCTATGAATAATACATACTGGATGAGACTGAAGTGGCAACCTGTATCAAGTTCTTGCAAAACTCAAAAATAAAAATTTTCTCTTTGCAGAAAGCTTCCTCATCTTTAGGAAGAATAAGTAACGTGGTCCATGCAGCAGAACAGAAACATACATGAGCCGATATTCTCGAAGTCAATTTTCAGTACCTGATATAGACACCTGCTCATTTGTGCAGGTACACATGCACAGCACATGCAGGTTCAACACAAAACTATTGAATAAGTAATCGCCTCCAAAAAAGCACTAATAAACTTTACTGGGAGCTACAACAGAGAAGACATTTGCTCTTTCTATAAACATTCAAATATTTAAATTTCATTCGCAATGAAATTTTGGAAGCAGGATTCAAAATCATATAGGAAAGGTGTCGTTGGGATACCATTTGTAATTAAGCGCACTAATATTTAAAGTTTTGTTAAAGTAATATCAGCTTGGATTTCAGCTACAAATATCAACAACCATTCCATGAGAGAAACAGTGGCAAGAACACTTAGGGACAAACATCTGTACACAGTGAAAGACATAAGAAGAGGAGCACGCCAGCTGAAATCACTTGAATTAGAGCAGAAAGACTGCAAGACACAATTATCTTACCTGACTCCTGTGTTTGTTACGGACAGTAATAAACGGGGAGTCAGGAAAGCTGGATTTTATTCCATTCCTGCCGCTGAGAATGACACTAGGCCCATCAGTAATAGGTCACATTCCCATTAAATTTATCCCTGAGGGAGGTTATTAAATGAAATTTATTCTTGAAATTCTCTGTTTTCACTTGCGTAAGTCATAACTTTTCATGGATACAGTGTTGCCTAAAGAAGGTAGAAGGCCTGTGCTCAACTCCCGTTGCCTAACGTCATTTGTTATATTAGTCCCAGGTAATGAATGCTGTAACTAAATTTCCAGAGCATGACAAGTTTCCCCATGTTGCTGTTTTACATGCATAAAGTCCTACTAGTATTCCCTTTAAATTTAATCTGCATAGAGAAAAATATCTTTGTCTGAGCAGAACACAGTTAACTTTGCTTCCCCACTTAAAATAAGTAAACTGCATCAGGTATACCTAAGTAGGCTTGTATATTTATGTTCACATACAATATCATATAAAATTAAGTTTGGTTTTACCACCATATAAAGTAATCCTTAATGTTTATTTAGTAACAAATCTCATTCAGTCCAAGAAAGCAAAGGTAATACTGCTGGACTAGATACCTTCTAGAAAATGCCTATGTTACTATGTTCTAAATTAGCTAAAAAAATGAATGGGTCTATAATTCTATATAATATCCAGATAGCCTTACTTTAATATTTCTGATTTCCTTATTTGCTTTAATATTACTTCATTAAATTGCTCTTTAAATATACCCTGGAATCAGTAAAGCACATTACCCTATGACGTTTGTGGAGGAGCTTATAGATTTTCTGCTATAAAATCCAGTAACTCCCCAATTTTCAAGCTATGCAATTCTTCATGAATAATTTATTATAATCAGAATTGATATATGAGAGTTTTTCATTTTATAAACATGGAAGTGACAGGAATTATTGATGTTAATTATTCTGCTAATAAATTCTTAGAGTCATCCTTTCAATTCCATTTCTTACATCTAAAAAGTGCTTATTTAAAAATCTAACGCTATATGCAAAAATAGCTAAAATTTCTTTGGTGATTATTTTATTTATTAATAATACCATTAATAATGAATGGTATGTTTGAAATAATACTATAAATACATTATTTCACAGCATACATTAAAATTTAAATATATCTCTTTGTCTTTTTTTCTGATGTATCACTCAATTTCAAGAAAGCTAGAATTTATTTTTAAATAGCTTTCCTGTCCAAATAATATGACATAACTTATCAAATATTTTTTTTATTATTATTGAAGTCCTTGGTAATTGTTCTTGGAAAAAATGTGGGAAAAATAGTTGAACATGTTCTATTCCTTGTTAAATTTTCATAAAGCCATAACTGCTACTGAAATTTTTAGAACACTCGCTATAAACATAACCATTTAATACTAACTTTATAAAATATCTCTTGTTTAATGTATACAATACAGTAACATATTTATTCAATTGTCCCTAATAAGATAATTAATATGAACTGAATTCTACACACTTGTATTAATATTTACTTGTATTACTATTTATTAACTAATTGATAAATAGTTGAATTAAAAATTCCTTCACTCTCAAAGAAGATCAAAGTTTATCAGGTAATGTTTGCATATCTAGAAGTATTTTGGGTAACAGATGGGGGAAATATGATATAAGATTTTTTCTTCCAAGTTTTGTTTTTATATTTAAATCAGAGGAAACTTCTTTGAGAGAAATTGGAGATAACCATTGTGCACAATTTTTCCACTTTAACACAAGCATTCTTGGTGTTTTTACATAGCAACTTTTAGGTTTGTTCCCACCCACATGCTTAGCTGTATGTACAGTGCATAGATAGTTTTATACCTAGATTTACATTAATATTTTATCATATACAACTTTTTATACCATGGAATCATTAAACCATCTTTATGGTTCAGAAGAGTCCACAAAGTTCATTTTCTATAACTTATTTACAATTTTCCTATTGTCGCAATATTAATTTGCTTCAAATTTCTATAACTACCACATTAGATTAAAATCTTTCTTCCATATTTTGAGATATTTCTTTATGAAAGAGTCCGAATGAGATTTCTGAAGCAGACAGAGTAGTCATTTTAACAACTCTTAATTTCTATGATAAATTTTTTGTAGAGTTTGTGACAATAAACCCAGTAATATGCGTTATTAAAGCCTCCAATAGTGAGTTTTAACATTTAAAAACTCCTTCGATTTTGTTTGTAAAGTACAGTGTCTCTGTGGTTTACATATTTATTTTCTAGTAAATATAGTTACAGAGAATTGTTTGACTTTTAACACATGATTATATATTATTACACTTAAAGCATTATTAGAACTCAAAAATATTTTCAATGTGAATAGACTTACCTATTAAAAAGATAAACTTTTGTAAATTCTGATTTTGTAAGAGCATCATAATTAGAACATTTAGTCACCTAAATCCTTATTTGCTACCATCCTTTGATAGTACCACAACAGAAATTTTTTACAAATACAATGTTTTTATTTTCCCTCTTCCTGAGCAAACATCTTCCCACTAACAGAAACTCCCAGAAAGTTAAATGCAAAATTGATCTTATTACTCATCCAGAACCACAGTATTTTAAATATGAAACAGACAAACTCCCAAGACTTTTTAATGCATCAAAAAGAGACGACTGAAAGTTTATACTTGATGATAATTACCTTGGACTTTACAAAGCAATAATTTAATTTAAAAAAATGAAAAGTATATCTATTGTTGTTTTTCAGGTTATAAGGATATTGAGTGTTACATATGACTGATATCACTTGCAAAGGTCAAGATCAGCTCTCATGGTTAAGAGCATGGTCTGTGGACCAAGACAAACTTAGGTTTAAATGCTTTGTGACAGTGAGCAGTTTACCTAACTCCTCAGCTGCCTCATCTGTCAAGTAAATATACATAAATGAGTATAGCAACATAATACATATAAAAGTTTGGGGCTTAATTTCCCCTTGAACTTCATTGTTCAGTTTACTCAACTACCTATATTTCATCAAACAATCCAGGCTAGACTCTTACAAAATGAAATATTGTTATTTAATTGATTTATATAAATATGTTTAAAAGCATTGGTAAATACTAAAAACAGAGATGATTTCCTAAGATTGATTTCCTAAGATGATTGCACCTGTGAACATGATGGACAGCAAAGTAGCTAAAATGGGCACAACTACTACCATGGTACTTGGTTAATTTTTCAAAGCACAGCCACACAAAGGTAAGAATAAAGACTATATACTGTCATGTGCTGGAGAATAGCATTTTCTGCATGTGTCTTCATAGCTGTATTATAAGAATTAAAAAAGCACATCTTCTATCTCAATAGCATTATTCTAAAGAAACAAATAACATGTCTTTACAATCTGGAAAGTTTTGTCTAACCAAAAATATCAGAAAGTAAATTTAAAATTTTCTGAGTAACTTTAAATTTAATCATACTTTATAGTCAGTATTTGTAGCATGTATCTTTTTAAAAGAACTTTTAAATAAAATGCATGGCTGACGTAATGTAAAAAGGATCTTGAATATTTTAAATATTGTGATAAAATTTATTCACTTCATTATTTAAAATTTTAAAATAAATATTTAGATGGCTCCAAGAGGTAAGTAGCCTTGTTTCTACCTAACCATTGGATCACTTAAAATCTGTAAAATACATGACATTTATAAAATAGTGAAGTATAAGAAAATCTTCCTTTCATTAAAATAGGATATTAAAATTCTACTTTGAATAGTATAAATCTTAAATAAATGCCTGAGAAGAATTTTTAAAGGGTAATTAAATTCTGGAGAAAGGAAGAGAGAGCAGAATAAGGGAGCCAAGATCCACTGTATTGTGAATGCACTTTTATGTATGACTTGGAACTCAATGGAGCTTATGAACCATTAAGTTCAATTATACTGAAAACCCCAAACAAACCCTGGACATTGTAAATCTCATTAATTTTAAACACATGGGGACTGGAATAAATGGACTTTGAATTAACTCGATCCAAATTACCTAATATTAAAACATAATAGGAATTCAGTTGCTTTAAATTGCTTTCCAGTTGCAAAGGCAGAATAGATTGCTATATTAAAGTTTATTATAATTTCATCTATTTTTGAAGTTTCAGAATAATGTTTTTATAAAGCAAGATTCTGAGATGAAAAGAATAAGAAAATTTAACTAACGTTTCTATATATTGATGTAAAATTTGGGGAGTTTTTAAAAAATTTCAGCTCTTTAAGAAAGAAATTTTACTTTAATTCCAAGCACAGAAGTGCAACACTAAATATATCTGATAATATGTTGTCTTTAGTAAAATTATAATTTCCTATTTCCAGGTCTCTTACTGCAATTATTTCTTTTTTTTTTTTCCTTTTTGTCTTTTTTCATGACTGGTAACAGGATCGCAGCCCTCAGTGTCGCGCCTGCACCGTGCTCAGCCAGTGAGCGGACCGGTCTCTACATGGGATCCGAACCCTCGGCGGGAGCGCCGCCGTGCTCCCAAGCGCCGCACTCAACTGAGTGCGCCACCGGGCCGGCCCTTACTGAAACTATTTCTAAAGTAACAAGGTAAGGCATGATTTTAATATTACTCTAATAATAAGACTAAAAATATAGTAATAAGAAATATGTTGCTAAATGATAAGAATAAAAAATAAGTTCCTAAAATGAGACCACACTTTTCAAAAACAAAGAAATTATTTTGAAAAATCTACCACTATTCTTATATACTTGTAAATAATATAGTCATTGCATGCAAATATCATAATTATTTTCCATCATTTGTAATATTTGACTAGATTTTATACAAGATCTAACTGTTTGGGGGCAACATTTCATCAGGGCCCCTATTATTAAAATTCTAATTTTTAGTTAAAAAATATTAAACCTAGTATAAACAGTTATGCATTCTATATAACACCAAGTTACATTTACAGAAACTATAAAGAATAGGTAACTTAGAATTTAAGCCAATCCATGTTAAAAATCTGTAATATATACATAAACATGTGAATAGTTATACCTGAGAAAAAATGTGCTTTGAAGCCCTTCTTGGATACAGTATTGTCAGATTTGAATTCAATTCTCATATTGTTGAGCTGAGATGTGATCACTTCAGGCACATCAGCACCACAGAATTTGCCATGCAACTTAGACTCTGAAGAAAGACCACTCCAGATCTCCACATAATCATATTTACAAACCTGGAAAAAACATGGTTGTCATAGTTACCAGATTTGAGAGCACCATATGATTGACATTTATTTTTGAGATAATGTATCATGTTTTTCCTGCTTTACTGCCATGGTAGTCAAACTGGAATTTACAGGTTAATAATATATATATCAATTTAAAAAAAGTCAAGGTTCAAGTATAAGGCAGGAAGCATGAAAGACCAATTAGAGTTTTGCTCTGAATCTCTCCAAGAGATAGGTATATACAAATGCATGCTTGTTTGTACAAGTATGTATTAATAACATACATCTTTTTTTAAAGAAAAACATAAAAGAAGAATTGAGATGAATATTTTTTGAGATAATGATGTGGGTAGCCACAAGAAGAGAAACAGGGGCTACTCTCTTTTAAAACTTTGTAAAAATTTCTTCACTTGGAACTGTGAAAGTATTTGTTGTGTATTGTCTTATTTAATATTGACAACAATTACATAAAACTGGAACATTTAGCCTACGAAAACAACCACTAGCACCAGCAACAGAAAAAATCCTTTCCATTGTAGAGATGAGAAAGCTGAGGTCCAGAAATTTTTATATAACTTGCCCAAAATTATACTCATCATACATGGAAGTGTGGTGATTAATAGCAGGGACTGGCTTAGTCCGGGATGTCTCCCAGAACCCTGCATTCCAATCAGAAGGGCACCGTTAGAAACGTTCAGAGTGAAAGACAGGTACTTGCTATATAAAAAAAGATCCTTTGCCCTTCAAACTTATTATGAAGAGTGATATTTCTTCACTTCTTTGAGTTGCTGGGTACTGTGAAGTCAGTCTGTAAGATTGCTGCAGGATTGGAAACACGTAGGAACTCTATTCAGTGTAATGGAGGCAGGAATTTACAACACAAAAGGCAAACGCATCCTGATGTACATGTAATGCACTAATAACACCAAAATGGAAGAAGCTAAGTGAAGGCCAGGTATTCTTAAGCAATTTATGGCCACTAACAGATGTTTCCAGTAGGGCACATTCTAAAGAATACATCTTGCGTGAATGACCTTATTACGTAAATATGTGACTAGCAAGGTTTCACAATGCATGTGATTAAACCCTGGGGCATGATCTGTACTTTGAAATATGTCAACTCAAATTACGGGTTCTTGTTATATTAATTAGGCAATAAATAAGCAAAATGCTGCTAGGAAAAATGAAATAACTTTCCTATCTATTTTGTTACAACTGTGGTTTTTGTTTAGAGAGGGCTCCAACATAGTACAGCAGAATGTTTCCAAAGTTAACATTCTTTGCCATTGACTTTGCTTTGGAATATCAATATAATGAATAAAATAATGATGTTTTAAAGTTAACCCAGTACTCTATAAGTCAAGTTTTTGCTAAAGCCTTTTATTTTAAACAACTAAGATATCAAACTATGAAGATACACAGAACTCTGTAACAGTTTTCACATAGTAACACCATTATAAATTAAAGAATTCTGGGATATGTCAACAAGGTTTGTAAATAGTCTTTCTATGAATGATGACTCTACTGTAAGGATAATGCTTTCAGAACACAACACCCCATTTATATAAAACCATTTACTTCCTTCTTCCTGAATACAAACCTCTAGGCTTCTTAGGAACACTTATCCATTAATGAACCAGAATCAAAATGTCATACCTGCCACAACCAATACCTTTAGGGAAAACTATGACAGTAGAAATCATTCAACACTAAATTCATATCAAATCACAGAATTAGTAAGCAAATTCTCATTTCAAAATAATATTATAAAAATGATTTTCTTTATTTTAATATATCCCAAAATTTGAGGTAGTTATTAAGGAGAAATAATGTTTCATGTAGATAAAGTATGTTAAAAACGGTAAACTGAGTCTTTCCCACCATCAAACTTACACGTGAAGTTAAAAACAAATCTCAAAAGGCCAAATGAGTTCTAAGATTCTACAATTCTCTGAATAATGTAAGTTCATCACATTTTAGACTTTAATTTCCTTTAAGGGAACAAAAAAGTAAGCTACCTCTTTTGAACTCAAAAGACACTAGTAAGAGAATTAAAAATTGCACAGTCGTGCCTTGGCTACTACAGGCAGAACTAAGAGGGAAAAAAAGTAATAAAAGAAAGAAGGAAAAGGAGGCACTGAAAAAAGAACAGGCAAAAATAGGTATGCAAAAGCAAACTTATGGTATGAAACCCACAAATAATACCAACAATTATTGCCCTAGAGGCACAGAAACATTTCTGTTCTCACATACCCTTGAAAGTGTTCAACAGATACACATCAAAGACAAAATAATGTTGAGTTAATTTTATAATATTTAGAAGTGCTGAATCTTGTTTATTTTAAACACAGAAAAAGAAGTTGTTTAGAGAAAGGATGCGGAAGAATTTAGAAAAAGAACAGAAATTATGAAGACAGGTATTTGTAACCTGTTCTCCGGAATTAAACCAGTGCTGACCAATTACACAAACGATGTTTTTCTAAAAGTTCTCATTTCTAGGCTTAACCTTCCATTTGAATCTGTTGTGCGGGTGTGTACTAGCACACAGGAATTTCAAATAAATGATTTCACTTGTTTAAATGAGGTCACCTGATAGAAAACTATACCTTTAGTAAGTGTTATTTTGTAAAGATAACTTCAGCTAAATGCATCTTTTATTAAGGTTAAACAATTAATCTTTATTTATGAACCATGAGCACATTCAAAATGACGAATTACTTACATAATGAAAATATACCCATTTTCATAAGTAAAATATACCAGGTTCTTCCAAATAGTTATTTTTGTTATGACTCAACTTGTGGATTTTGGTTTATTTTTTCTAAAAAAAGTCTATATGACATGAAACTGACTCTAAATACTATGTAGTACTTTAATAAATCAAGAAAATGGTGTATGTCAAATACACTGATTAAAAAGTCCCTCTGGGTAATTTTCAATCTCCCAGAAGCAATCTAAAATATCCTCCAGTGCCAACAACAATCATAAGCAGTTGCCGAAATGAGCAGTAGAACAAAGAAAGACTACAACATTTATACTACTATGTATTACATTTGGTTTTTGGTTTTTGGTTTTTGTTTTCAGTTTGACATTTTGCCTTCAGGGATTCCCAAAACATGATAAAAAAATTAGAATTGTTGTTTACTTACTTCATTGCCTTCTAATTCAAAAAACTCAAACTTCACGGAAATTCTGTACTGGGGTGGTGCGACCACTTGCCACACACAGTTTTTATTAGGAGGGTACTCCTTGGGCCAGCCTGGGGTGGTTATGGTGCCATTAAGTTTGGTAAGAAGTCCGCCACAAGCAGCTGGAAGGAAAGAAAAGGAAAAGGTGGTCCCTTAATAAAGTCACCCCCTTCTTAGCACCTGTCCATTGATATCCAGACATCTCAGCATTAAATCTCAACCCTCTTCTGGATTTCAAAATCTAGAAATCACAGTCTGGGTTCCTTAGTCTTCGTTACAACTATTTTAATCATCGAATCCTATTTATAAAGCATTATTTTGTCGATTTGGAGCTAAGCATATCATGGGTGTACTACAACATTTTAGATCACTTTAAAATTGGATGAACACTACAAAGAAAACTGGGTCTCAGCTTTTTTTATCTTTGAAATGGATATGATAATATGCTGTAGTGCCTTGGCTACCACAAAATTAAGAGAAAAAACAAAGTTTTGTGAGAAGTGATAGGGTTGTTGTGAGAATTAAGGAAAGATTTGTGTAAAGCACAATGTAGTCTGATGTAGTAAGACAAAATAATTATTTCCTCAATTCTTTTTTTCCAAGACAAGTAATGCTGTATTATCTGAACTAGCAGACAGGATAAATTATGGTAAATAGAATATATTTGTTATTCAGAAAATCTTCATTTAACAATTGTTTTCCTTTCCTTTGTGATGATGTATTTAAAAGAGGTACTATTTACAAATCCTCTCTTCCTTATTAATAGTGAAATTAGCAAAATCATGGTATGTATCCAAATGCAGGTTGAGTGAAAAGATCATATGTTTTACACAGTTTGTAATTAATTCCTGAGCAGTCAAGAGATACCTAAAATAACTGCTCATTTATTCACCTTTGTGTACATATATATATACGTGTGTGTGTGTGTATATACTGCTGCATTTATAAATATATAAAAATGCTACCTCTACATTCACATTTACCACTTTTTTCGTAAATTATTATGAAGTAAAATAATACTTATTTTACTAGCCGCACAGAAATAATAGTCGTGCTACTTTATGATTGCCTGATTCACGATGTCCTCTTTTTTTAAAATGCTACATTTTCTTCTTAACTATGTATTTTTATTCTAGTATAGAGAGAAGATCAGCAGTTTAAAAGGTAGAACTTTTGAAAGCCAAACAGAAGAGTTCAACCTTTTGAGAAAAACGGAGAGTCCCTGATTTTTTTGGTAGGTCAGTAGGGGTGTGGCACCGATCATTAAGCAGATAACTTTGCCACCACTGGCACTTACATCGTCTGTTACAGATGAGTAGAGAACTAGGTGCTCATTTTCAAGGGACTTAGATTTTGGTGCGAGACACCAAAAGTAAACTTATAAATACATAAATCTAAATAATGTTAAACTGCTACAAGTTCTATGAAGATGAATTTGGCAGAAATTTCAAAGACGGAAGAGACTGGAGGAAGGAGGATCAGCCAATTTATTCTGTGAGTTGAGGTTTGATGCCTGTAACAGGGTGGAGGCAGGAGAAATGACAAAGGGCCAGCTTCATATTCTGAAGGAAGAGATCACAAGCCACGGTGACAACACACTGTACAAAAGTCTCATCTCAGAATGTAAAGAGGACGTGAAGATAACCAAGACAGAAACGTCTTTGTTTAATCAACTGTTTATTCATAAAACACATATTCAGCTCCAGTTGTGTCTGACTGTGCTGGATGCTAGAGAGACAGAACATTCACGCAGGAGTGCTCACGTTAACAAGTGAGAGGTGCCCACAGGTGAAGGAAAGATAAAAACAAATAGTGGACGGACAGATGGATGGCTGGATGGAAGGAGGGAGGCAGGAAAGCATGAATAGATGGAGAGATAAAAACTTAGATCTAGACAGAGATAGAGATAGAGATAAAAATATTTAGAGATTTATTAACATATATAACCAAACAAGGAGCGGACTGATTCCACAGCAAGAATCCAGGCAAAGTTTGACATCAGCTGTAACTATGAATTGAGTCTTTTTTTTTTTTTCCTTTTTGTCTTTTTTCGTGTCCGGCAATGGATCGCAACCCTCAGTGTTGTGCCCGTACCGGACCGGGACCGGCAACGGGATCGCAACCCTCGGTGTTGCGCCCGCACCTCGCTCAGCCAGTGAGCGGGAACCGGTCTGTATGTGGGAACCGAACCCTCGGCAGGAGCGCCGCCGCGCTCCCAAGCAGTGCACTGTAGCAGTGCGCCACCGGGCCGGCCCCTATGAATTGAGTCTTAATCGTTGAGGAAAGAGATTACTTTAGGGGAAAGGGAAGGAGAGAGGGAGACAGAGAATGCGAATGTATGAAAGGAAGGAAGGAGCGGGCCGGGGTCTCCAGGCGGGGCAGTCGTACCTTCACAGCTCCTCCTGTCGGGGCCCAGCTCATAGCCAGGCTCGCAGGCGCACTGGTAGCTGCCCAGTGTGTTCAGACACCGCTGCTCACAGCCTCCACGGTCAGGCTTGGCACACTCATCTTCCTCTATAAAAATGGCAAGAGTTACAGAACAACTATTTTGTTTTTATATACTAGGGTGTAAATTTCTGGAAAATAGGATGCTTAATTGGCCTTAATAAAAGGGAGACAATTCATTTGTTCAGCGAAGGAGCAGAACAGTGTATAAGCCCTTGATGGATGACGTACAAGAATTCATGTTGCTGCCACCTAAGAATTGTAGAACCACCAAGAGAAGAACTAGAAACCTGTAGCAGGGCCAACTGAAGACCACCTTATCTATGACAAAACCTGCGTCTTTTCAGAATTTGAGGTCACATGGGGATTCTTAAAACCTAGAGATTTTTCAGAATGAAATGAAAAAACTTACTAAAAAAGCATGGCTTCTGCTGTAGATTGGACGTCACTGCAACCTCACTGACGCCAGTCCCTGCTGTCACTGTTTATGGTGGGAAATCCTACTGTGGTAATGCTAAGGTGGGCCTTGAAGAGGTGATTGGATTGTAGAACCGTGCAGTGTTGAGTGGATTAAAGACCAGGGTCATAGGCACGGCTCTGAGGGCCTCAGCTCTCTCTGCTGCCACCACCTTGCAGTGTGAGATCCCTGAATTGCTATAAAGCCGCCACCAAAGAAGACTCGCCAGATGTGTTCCCTGGACCTTGAACTTCCTAGTCTCTGAAACTGTAAGCAATAAATTTCATTTTCTTTATAAATTATCCAGTTCCATGTATTTTGTGATAAGCAACAGAAACAGACTAATACAGCTTCACCTGCTGATTTCATAGTGTAGATTGCCAGAAATATCCCCCCAAAATGCTTTTAAAGAAATGTCGTTAGCACACTTTCACTATTTGTCACATAATTAACTTATAGGGAATTGTTTCTTATTCTCACTTCATAATATATTCAGTCATTCTCAATTATTAGTTTCATTTAAGAACCCCTTAACAACAACAACAAAAAAAAAATAGATTGAGATGGATATAAATTAAGAAGAAACAAAACTCAAAAATTGATTGGACTTCTTTAAATTTAAACCATACACTGTTTATTTTTTAGGCATTTTGATCCAGAAAATATAATAATCCCATGTTTTGGTGAATATATATATACAATTTTAATTGTACAAGGGTACTTTTAGATTCGTATTATCTCTTAATTCTATTTAAAAATAATTCTAATTTAAAGTAGAATTAAATGATAGTACAAATTTTTCCATGAACTTTCTGAAGACCCCTCATATAGAAGGGCTGGACTAATATCTAGAAAACTATGCTGTCTATTCTAAGCGAATCATTGTGCAGTATATGCGTGTATTGAAAGAAAATACTGTACCCAGCAAATATGTACAAGTAAATGTTAAAATATTTTGAATAATATAAAAATAAAGTATATTACAGGGTAATCCATAATCTCGCTCTTCAGGAATAACCTAATGTGAAACAGGTGAATAGCAAATATCTTCTGGGAAATCACGCATCAACAAAACACTAAGCATTTTTGGTAACCAAATATATAAATATCACATGAAAAAAGCTTGATAGCCTGTTTCTTCTACTGTAAAATATAACACGGAAAATTTTAAACATGTAAATGTATATTTTAATGAATACATTTAATATGTTTAGTAAAAGTTCCAAGTTTCTCTTTCTTTCAATTCACGTGGTGAATATCTAAATAACTCTAAGGGAAAATCCATTATACTGTTGTTCTATAAATAATGAAATTTTTAGATATCTATCACTCTAAGTTTTGACATACACAATTGAATCATTATTTATCCCATAAGAAGCAATGTAGAAAAAATTTTGTTTTCTCTCCATAGAAAAATTTTATTCTACAACACACTTAAGTGCCTATGAATTTTCGAAATGCATTTTAGATGTTACTATTTTCATTAAAATAGCTTTCTTTTCACTTCACTAATCTATAGTAATACTTTGTCAAAAAGACATATGAGAATATTCTGCAGGAGACCATAAATTATTTCCAGTGTGTGGGAAAACTATATGTAAAGGATACTTTAGAAATGTTGACATCTGGAAATAAATTAATGGACTACATGCCAATAAACCCCTCTGGTTATAAATTTTTGTTGAGTAAACATATTACAAATAGTTTCTTCCTGTCTTTTATATACCTTTCTGGATTTTGCTATTTTGAATATTTCATAAAAAACAGGTGCTAGAATATCCTAATGGAGTTCCTACCCTGTGCTACAAATTTCCAAACTCCAGTATTTCACAAGTTACCTTTTTCACTAAAACCCACCAAAATATCCTGACTTCAACTCTCAATAAAAGTTTATTCTAGTTCTCTCCTAACTGGAAGCCCAATAGTACATTTATCCCTGACAAAGAAAATCTCATATTTTTAAATTACTTCAAATTACCTTTAAAAAAGTTAGCAGCAAACCCTGCCTTGTTCACAGTTCCATCAGAAACAAACTTCATCCACAAGGTGTTAGCGCCGGATCTTATATCTTCAGGTTTATCATAACCACAGAAACGCCCTATCAAAGGGCTATTTTCACTTATTCCATCTCGAACTTCTAGGTGGTCATAGGCACAGTTGTCATGCCTTTCGATCTACAACAGTAAAAATGCATGAATATATATCTCACTAACAGATAAAACAATTTCTATTGGAAGATTACTCTGTATTCTCAGTGCCATACTACTGACATGTTAATATAAAAATTACCTCATATGAGTGCTCATGAGCATTTCTCATGAGTCTGTATGGTGATATCTACATTGCACAAGAATAAGAAAATTATTCTGGGGCCGGCCCAGTGGCGCACTGCGATAGTGCGCCGCTTGGGAAGCGCGGCGGCGCTCCCGCCGAGGGTTCGGATCCCACATTCAGACCGGTTCCCGCTCGCTGGCTGAGCGAGGCATGGGAGCAACGCCGAGGGTTGCGATCCCGTTGCCGGTCCCGGTCCGGTACGGGGGCGACACTGAGGGTTGCGATCCGTTGCCGGACACAGAAAAAGACCAAAAAAAAAAAAAAAAGAAAAGAAAATTATTCTGGTGGACAGAGAAAGATCACAACAAGAACAAAAAATCTATGGAAGAGGGGCCGGCCCGGTGGCACACTTGGTAGAGTGCGGCGCTTGGGAGCGCGGCGGCACTCCCACTGAGGGTTCGGATCCCATATAGAGACCGGTCTGCTCACTGGTTGAACGCGGTGCGGGCGCGACACCGAGGGTTGCGATCCTGTTACCGGTCACGAAAAAAGACAAAAAGGAAAAAAAAAATCTATGGAACAGGACATCCACATGAATCAGGATCAACCAAAGTTAACTCTTTTTTAAAAGAAAATTAAACTACAAGTAGTGACCCTTTCATAAATAGAGTTGAAAAAATATCCAAACTTAAAATTATTAAAAGTCTGGGCCAGATATGCTGTAATCAATCTATAATTTGCTCTGGTACATAGTTATAAAAATTTATCATAGTTCATCAACAAAACCATTATTTTATTCATAGAGACACTGAACTCAAATTCTCTTGAATACAGCACTATTTTGTTATAAAATGCTTTCTGAAAGAAAAATCTGATAATATGGAATGACATTTCTTCCTAGTCTATGAAATTCTTTATCCATAATTAGTGTGGCTTTGTGTAGACAGATGACTCTGTTGTAGAATCAACACTGGCTTTCCCTTTCTCAAGGTACCCTGACCTCATCTGGATGATCCCTTTACCCTGACACACTCATCTCAGCCCATATAACATGGGTGGGCTCCGTCTCTTGCCTTAACAAGTAAACACAAATATTAGGTCGGACAATAAGCCTAAGAAACTATGGAGAACAACATGTTTGTGGACCTATGTTTTGGCCCTGAACTTCTAAAAACAACAGACACAAAATTTATAAATTGTTTTACAAATTATAAGACAATTTCTAAATAAAACTCTTTGTTTTTATTTTTTCACAGAAATTGGGTGCTATTCCTGAAGTCTTAATAGAGCCAACTGTTTATTAGACATTTGAAGCTAGAAAGCACAGACATATACGGTTTAAAAACCATGAAAAGTATCACATCTTGTCAACTATCATTTAACATACAATTCGTTAATTTATATGATTCTCCTGTTACAACACTAATGTCAGAGAATAAATTCATTCCGTGGAACTACAACCTGAATGCATAAAACTGCTGAAGAATCCCTTTCCTGATTTATCAATACATTAACAGGGACAGTCTTCAAGTTAGGTAGCATAAGGACAACCAGAGCAAAAAAATAAAATAAAATAAAATAAAAAGAATTGAAGCACAGATTTAGTCAGAACTAAGTAGTACATCTGCCACTTCCTTTCCCCCAATCAAAAAACAATTCATTCATTCTTTCAACAAGTATTCAGTGCTCTGCTGGGCACTCTTCTTGGTGCTTGGTATGTATCACTCAGTAAAATAACAGAATTTGCCCTTCTGGAGCTCACATTCTACTGGTGGGGGGACGGGAAAGAAACAAACAAGGTAAATAATTAAATCATAAAATATTAGAAAGTAACAAATTCCATAGGAAAATATAAAGTGAAACAAGACAAGAAATGTAAGAAGTGGGGGTGGGAGGAGTAAAGTTTGCAATTTTAAATTATACTATTAGGTAGATGTTTATTGAGTATGATTCATAAATCTAGATTTTTTTCCTAAAAATAAATTATCTTTGTGTATGGAATTATGTGAACGAATGTAAAAATATTTAAACAAAAATATCTAATTTTAAAAGCACACTTTTTAAGACTATAAGTGTTTAAAAAGAGAGATTTTGAAGGAGCGCTGGCAGTTGCATTAGAAACTCAGTCACCAGGATGACAAGGCCAGTCTGACCAACCACGTGTATGCCCTCTTGTTTTAGTCTTTAATATACTCCCTTTCAAAATCAGAGTTCTTTATAAATATGAAAATATTTCCAGATGGCCAAGGCTGTTCTTCAGTCAAGAGGATATATAAAATAATATCTTAAACTTCTCAAGGTATAGTGCTTGTTAAAATAAATAAATAAATAAATAAGCAGCACTACACTGGTGACAAAACTGTAGGGAAAGTAACCCAAGGTCTCATCAAGCCAACCCATCTGTGCCTGCTCAGGAGCACCACAGGATGAAGTGCTCCTGGTTCATGAATCATATTGGAAGAGAAGGGGGAGGAATGAGACAGCAGAGACAGGAGTGAGAGTACGCAGTGAGGGAACAAACTCCTCGTAGCGGAAGGTCCGTCAGTAAAAATAAAATTACATTACCTCATATTAGAAGCCATGCTAGAATAAAAATCAAGGTTAATTACAAAGGAATTTTTAATTACTATTTTAAGGAGATTTAGGAACTTTTAATTACTATTTAATTTTGACAGTTACAGTACTAACAAGGAAGAAAAAAGATAAGCGCTATGTTTTCACTTCTTCGGTGATTAAAAATAAATAGGGTAACTTATATTACCCTGTGCATAAAACTCAGTCTGTTCTTTTAACAGATGTACAAAAGAGCACTTTACATTTTAATTTACAGTATATTTACTTGTTATTTAGTAAAAAATTGGAGGTTTAAATATTTTATATGACTCACAAGGTATAAATATTTCATGGGTAAAATGCATAAAAATTACCAATTTTAGGATTAATCCCAATACTACCCATTTATTCCACTATACTCTTATTAATTACATATTACTTACATATTAAATATTATGTATCTGGTACTGAGGGTAACACAATTGAAATATACATCATATTCTCACATAGTAAATGCCATAGTTGTTGAGTTGCTTAGAAAACAAAATGTCTCTCATATATATGAATTCATGACATTCAAAAATGCATTATCCCTTCACCACAATCCTAGATATCTTATCAATGACCTGAATGGCCTTTGTTGACATATCTTTCCAATTTAAGCCTGAGTGTAATGCCTGTACAATGAATATGCACGATTAATGTTAATTATAATTATTTTTCATCAACTACATCTACAAAGGAGTAATGATAATAAGTACAAATGGAAGTTTCAGTTATTTTATTTATGTTCTTTGTGCAACATTTTCTCCAGCTCTGTCAAATTTCTTCTTCAATTGATATATGGAATGAATTGAAATAAATATGCTGAAGCTAAAAGGTGAATCAAGTCATTATTGTCATCCCAATTACCTTAAGCTCCATGAAAAAAAGAACACCAAAATCAATGATTTATTTTTAAAAAAAAGAAAGAAAGAAAGGGAAAAGCAGTTTCTTCTTGAGTAAAAGCACGGACACAGTTCAAAGAGCTGGGAGCTGAATGCAATGTCATGCACAATTACACATATAATAAATATGTTTTGATAATGATGCTGCTGGCATTACAGCCTTTAATCAGAGCATAAACCATATGAATGTGGCAAGTTTATCATAACATAAACAAACCTAATATGTACATAGAGAATACAATGAAAGTGACAGTAAGCTCTGAATATTTTGAAGAAAACTGATATTTAAATAATATTGGAAGTAGATCGAAATACACAAAGAAAGAAGAATAAGTACACAGGCCAGCCAGGAGGCATTAATATTACATTTCATTACTAAGAAGGGGGCTCATACCTTTCATGGCAGGGGAGAGAGTAATCATGAAAAAGATGAGTGATTTGTATTTAGCAAGAACTAAATAAATTAAATTTAACCAAAAGTGGTCAACCTCTCATTCTAACACTGCCCACCTGTGGTCAGTGGTAAGTGGTCAGTGCATGTGGGTGAGTTCCCACGTTGGAGAAAAGCTAGCCTTGGAGGAAAAGGCCAAGCCCAGGCTTAGGGCCCATTCAAATGCTTTGCCTTTATTCTATAACCAAATTTCCAGATAAACATAATGTTGCAAAAGCATTTATTGCAGTACCTACTTATTTGTAAAAAGCTCTGAAAACTGTAAAATTTCTAGATCATAGTTTCAGTAAAAGGCCTCTCATGCTCCCTGAAAAATTTAAAATAGAATTACCATATGATCCAGCAATATCTTCTTCTGGGTAAATACCCAAAAGAACTGAGAGCACAGTCTTGGGAATATATTTGTACACCCATCTCTACAGCAGCATTACTCACAATAGCCAAGAGCTGTAAGCAACCCAAGTGTCCAATGACAGATGAATAGACAGACAAAATGTGACATATACATACAAAGGATTATTATTCATCTTTTAAAAAGAAGGACATTTTGATATATGCTACACCATGGATGACCTTTGAGGACATTATGCGAAGTCAATTAAGCCAGTCACAGAAAGGTAAATACTGCATGATTTCATTTATTTGAGATACGTACAGTAGTCAAATTAATTGAAACAGAAGAAATGGTTGTTGCCAAGATCTGGTGGAGAGAGGGATGGGGAGCTGTTGGAGTTTTAGCTTTGCCACATGGTTCAGCTTTGCAAAATGAAAAGAGTTCTGGAGACTGTTAGAACAATGTGAATGCACTTAACAGTACTGAACTGTATAAGACGGTAAATTTTATGTTATGTATTTTACTACAATAAAAAATAGCTCTCTCATGAGTGTTTCAAGATAGTCTTGAGGTATAATTAATGCAATCAAAATCATACGACTTTTATAAATAATA